ACAGGGTCTATAGACTCCAATTATCTGTAATGCACTGTGACACTCAGAAGTGACAAGACAGATGGCATAATTCCAAAAACAATGTGCAACTCATACTGCAAACCACCACTGAAAAATATGGCTAAGGGTATCAGGATTCCAGTAGGGCTTAGCTGCTGTGGTTTCCTGCAGGAAAGTAGCATTGAGGAAACTCCTGCAAGAGAGCCTTGGATGTCAGGTGGAGGAGCTGTTGACCAGAAATAGACGCTTGAGTGTGCTGTTGCTGGAAAACACTGGGAAGAATTAGTGTTTGGCAGTCCTGGTGACAGAGAAGGGAGGCTAAGGCCACTGGGGCATTTGAGGTATGTGGTGGAGACCTGGGGATGGGAAGGAAGAGGCAGAAGTTAGAACCTCACCAAGCTTCTGGTTTTGTGTGCTGGGGTAAGTTGAGGAGTCTGTTTCTCATTAAGTACAGAGAAGGTTTCATCACTTACAGGAAAACCACCCGCTTATCTGAAATCTGACCTACTTCGGGCTGGAGCCAGACAGGGCTCCTGCATCCCACAGGGACACTCAGGCTGTAGTTGTCCAGATCTGTGCAGCCAGTTAAGACTTCAGCAAGGAGCTTCAGCCCTACCATGCTCCCAGTGTTCACAGAGGCACTGGGGGTCAGGGCTGAGATCTGCCCCTCTGGGGTGTCACAGGTGGTGAGGTGTGCTCAGCAGGGCCTAAAATCTTAGGTTCCAATGAATCCAGTGCTTCCTTTCTTATATCCAGTATGCTACAGATGCAGCCCTAACCGTATGAGTCGCCACGCTCCTGGGATTCAGTAATTCAACTTTCTCATTTTAGGGGCTGTGTCATGATGTAGCTGGAAGTGCTCTGGGCTGGGAGGCAGAAAATGGTGAGAGGGAGACTCCCTGGTCTTCTGGAAATGGACAGAATTGGGCTAGATCTCTATAAGGGTCCTCTTGCCTCCCACTTCCTTCAGTTCACTCAAGAGGCTTAAGCCACATTTTTTTTAAAGCCACTTTTTAGTCCTACCAAAGATGGCATTTTATTTGGTGGTTGGAATTTCCTGGTCACCGAGAAATAACTAACAATTAGAAAATGGATAGACTTCATTTGGGAGGGCTTCCTGGAGGTGGTAGCCTCAAGTTCTGATGAACAGAAGACAGAGACAGAATGAGGGAGAAATAAGAGTGATAACTTGGTTAAAATTAGCATGGCAGCAACAGCCAAGGCGCAGAAGGAGAAAGGTGTGAAGGCCTTGGTCAGAAATGGATCCAGTGAGCCCTGGAAGATGTTGGTGGGGCCGGGGCAAAGCTGGATGTGCAGTGTCGCATTGACCAGGACAGTAGAGCTGGAGAAGCTGAGGTCTGCAAGGATCAGACTTAGAACCCTCACAGAGATGATGTGGTTGTCGTAATGAGGGTGTTTTAGTGCCTCTGCAACACCGCTGGCCCCTTCGGAGGGGCCCAGCCACATCTGCACTCTAGCTGGCGTGATGAGCTCACTGTCCAAGAAGCCCCAATGTACGGAGGAGTGGTTAAAGTTCGGTGGGGCCTGGGGGAAGTGGCAAGGATGCTGAAAACACTGGGCTGTGTGCTCCCGTCTGCCCCTTTTTACCCCTTTCCCTCTAGGTTCAGTTTTCTTTTTCCTTTTTCTTTTTTTGAGGTGGAGTCTCTCTGTGTTGCCCAGGCTGGAGTGCAGTGGTGCAATCTCGGCTTACTGCAACCTCTGCCTTCCGGGTTCAAGTGATTCTCCTGAGTAGCTGGGATCACAGGCGCATGCCACCACACTCGGCTAATTTTTTTGTGTTTTTAGTAGAGACTGGGTTTCACCATATTGGCCAGGCTGGTCTCGAATTCCTGACCTCAGGTGATCCACCTGCCTCGGCCTCTCAAAGTGTTGGGATTATACGCATGAGCCACCACGCCCAGCGCACCCGGCCTAAGTTTAGCTTTCTTTCAGGTGAGGACTCAGTGATGACCAGCCCCACCCCTCCCTGAGTGGGTTCATGGGATGTAATGTTAGCTCTTCAGTCCCCCTGAGAAGCCCCTGAGCCAGTTACAGATCACCTTACTGAGACTGTGCTGCGTTAGTTGAGGGAGCAGATAGGAAGAAAGGGGCAGCTCAGGGGAGGCTGGAGCAGGAAAGAGCCATCAGGGTAAGGCATGGAACTGAAGGGGCAGGGGCTGGAGGACAAAGCTGGACCCTGTAGTGGGAGCCGTGCTCTCTGTTTACAGCAAGGTCTTCCGTGTGCTGTGACAGGGTGAGAGGTTGCCCTTTCACAGATATAACAGTGGGCTCAGCCAGAGAGGCTCTACCTGGAGGAGGCAGGAGGAGGGATGGAATGACCATGGGAAGACTGTCGGTGAGAAATGCCCTCCCCCTCTTGGCATGTGGAGTCTCGCTCAGCATAATCGCCCCAGTTCACTTTTCCTGTACAAGTTACTCAACTTCTCCCTCCTGAGGTCTCACCGCAGCCCCAGGCCTCAGCTTGGAGGAGTAAAGTCAGCGGGATTGCCCCTCGTGAAGGGGAGGGAGGTTCCACCACCTTGGTCTTCAGGGCTGGGCCTCCAGCTGTGGCCCTCAGCAGGACTGGGACCTTATCCTTTAGCCTAGGAGGGGCCCCGTGGTATTAAGAGGAACCCTGGGTTGGGAGGACAAGATCTGGGCCCTGGGCCTTACTGCCTTTGGCTCCCTGTCACCTCCCCTCTCTAGACCTCAGTTTCCTCTTTAGTTGAGCCAAAAACTCTGTCATTAAGGGTCTCTGAAGTCCCTTCTAGACCCAGCAGTACTGCTTTTCAAAGCCCTTCACTTGCATGGTCTCATGTGTGTGCAATGAGGCATTATCTCCATGCATAAAGAATGGAGGGAGCAGTGGCACAGAAAAAGGGTTCCCCTGCTGAAGGTTGCACTAGTTAGCACAGCGCCACAACAGACCCAGGGCTCTTGATGCCATAGGTTCATCTGAGCTCCACCACCCCTTTGGTGTGTCCACCGCATGCTCTGTGGAGTAACAGAAAGAAGAAGAGGGTCCCTAGGTCCTGCTCTGCCCCTGGCTTTGCTCCTGCCCCTGTTCCGCCCCAGGCTTTCTCCTCTAGAAACACCAAGTGGGTCACTAGGCATTTCTGGCCCCCTCCCCACACCTGCCCATTCTGTTACACCCCAAAGTCTGGGGAAATGTATTGTCTGACTTTCTGATTTCTGTCTCTTGCTGTACAATAAATACGCCACTCTTTTCTGCTTCCTCCCCTGCCCCAAGGAATCAGCCACGAGGTAACTGACTCCCTGCGTCTAATCTGAGACCTTTCTGGCACTTTCAGCCTCCTCTCTGATTTCAGAAAAGTCCTCTGCTCCTCCTTCCCTGCCCCTCTGCCTCTCTCCCCACCTCTCCTCTTGCTCAGGAGGGCATTTAGATCTGAGGTCGAAACAAAGGGAAGGGAAGTGGAACCCCAACTCTGTTGACTCAGCAACCATATTTCTCCTTAAGCTGATTAGCACTGGAGTGGAAAGGAGGGGAATTGGCCAGTCACTGGAGCTGGCACCTGGGCCTGGCTGGGGGTGGTGCGGTGGTGGCAGTGCCCAGGCCTAGGGACTGTGGCTTAAGGAAATGGTCTGGAAGATTCCTGTGCCTCAGGTAGGTACAGGGGCCCTGACAGGTGCTGATTGCCTGGACTAGACTCTTACAGGAATGAATGTGAAAAGAACAGGCTGCACAGATGGGACCACAGGAGTCCCCAGGCCTGGGCAGCTCTGGAGGGGCCGTCTCTGCTCTGAGCCCTGAGGATGATCCAGGGGCAGACACTGCCCTGTCTTAGAAAGCCCCCTGTCTGGCTGGGCATGGTGGCTCATGCCTTTAATCCCAGCATTTCGGGAGGCTGTGACAGGAATATAGCTTGAGGCCAGGGGTTTGAGACCAGCTCTGGCAACATAGTGAGACCCTCTCTCTATAATTTTTATTTATTTATTTATATATATATTTATTTATTTTTATTTTTCCCCCAAGACGGAATCTTTCTCTGTCACCCAGGCTGGAGTACAGTGGTGCGATCTTGGCTCACTGCAACCCCTGCCTCCCGGGTTCAAGCAATTCTCCTGCCTCAGCCTCCTGAGTAGCTGGGATGACAGGCATGTGCCATCACGCCTGACTAACTTTTGTATTTTTAGTAGAGATGGATGGGGTTTCACCAAATTGGCCAGGCTGGTCTCAAACTCCTGACCTCAGGTGATCTACCCACCTCGGCCTCCCAAAGTGCTGGGATTACAGGCGTGAGCCACCACGCCCAGCCAGGCTTGGTGATGGGCACCTGTAGTCCCAGCAACTTGGGAGGCTAAGGCAGGTGGATCCCTTGAGCCCAGGAGTTCAACGCTGCAGTGACCTATGATCATGCCACTATACTCCAGCCTGGGCGACAGAGCGAGACCCTGTCTTTAAAAAAAAAAAAAAAAAAAGGAAGTCCCCAGTCTGAGACAAAAGTAAGGCCCAGGGCATACGCCAGAGCCCCAGAGCTTTGCGTGGGAACAGGAGGCTGGCTCTGAAGTGGTTCTGGGCAGAGAAGGGGGAAGCAAGAGGGATATGGGAGAGAATGGGGTCCTGATTGAGGCAAAGGGCCTAAGCCCAAGAGGCTAGGAAGATGAGAGGCCTGGAGCCAGTTCCAAGGGGATTCCTGTCCTCTTAAGGGGCTCACACACACATCTTCCTCCTCTCCAGTCCTGTACTTGGCAGGGGGGTTGCAGAGGAGGTGAAGGGGCTGTCCCTCAACTGCTCAGCTCTCTGCCCCTCTTTCTTTATGCCTCAAGCGGTGCAGCCACCTCTATGTCCCTGGCTGCCTACTCAACCCATCCCAGTCAGAGAAGGAATACTTTGCAGAGGTCTTGTGTCCCTGGCCTTGGTGTCTGTCAATCCTCAAGCCCTTCCACCCTCACTGCAGTGGCAGTTCAACCCCTTGCCTTCCACAGTATGAGAGAGAGAGAGTCAGAGACAGAGACAGAAGGAGCCTGGAGGACTTGAATCCCTGTAGGGGAAGGCAGTTGGTGATGATTTATTAGCCAGACAAGAATCAACAAACAAGTTCTAACATCTGTTCTCACCAAACCATTCCTCAGACAACAGCAGCATTGGACCAGGGCCCAGATTCAAAGGCTCAGAGGGCCAAGGAAATTAGACTCCAGGAGGAGAAACCAGGACAGTGAGAGCCAGCAGGGCCCTCCTCGCACACTTCTTTGCTGTCTTAGATCATCAAGGACTGAGCCATTGGATTCTTGGGATCTCTTAGGAGGGAGCAGGCTCCACATTTGCTTCTCTGACCTCCAGGCTTCTTTGTTGGGGGTCAGGCCGGACCTGTCGGGGGACAGAGTTAAGCCAGGATCCACAGGAGGGGACCCAGCAAGCACCCAGGCCTCCATGCAGTAGAACTCTGGAAAGTGGCCAGACTTCCTGTTTGAGGAAATCTCTGATGTTTCCTATGGACTGGAGTTTGTGGATGTGTGGTAAGGAACAGAGTACTAAACGGGGAATCAGGAAGCCTGGGTTCTAGTCCTTGACTTTGGCCAAGTCACTGCGCCTCTCAGGCTATGTTTTCTTTTCTGCATAGTGAGGGAGTTGAATTTGATCAGTAAGGACAAATGTAATGCTGCTCATCCTCCTGCCCTTACCCATGGCAGACATCACTAATCAATCATGTGATTTTTTTCTGCTGAGTTCAGATATAACCTTAACATCCTTTCCAATGCAGCACTCTAGGCAGCCACGACCAATGGATTGGAGTTGGCATGCAAGATGACACCTCTTTGCCATCCTTGCAATTGATGATGGCTGAGGTCCTTTCCAGCTTTGATCAACTATGGTTTATTCCGTCCACCTTTCCTGAGAAGGGTGCCAGGTGTGTGTGAAGGTCTCTGGACCTTATACTCCAACTTATCCTCACCAAGCTCAGACTTACCGCCTACTGAGGAGGCCCAAGGGGGAGCCATGCCTGTCCTCTGTCCTGAAGCACCTGTCTAGAAAGATTGTGGGGGAGGGTGTGTCTCCAGGCGGGTGGGGGCTGGTGGGGCAGGGGAGGGCCTTGCCCAATCACAGAGTTCTCAGAATGCAGCTGGGAGCCACCTGTATTCTGCAGAGAGAAGGACAGTTCTAGGTCACACCCTCTACCCTCTGCCTCCTAGGTGTACCTGCAGTCTCAAGACATCTGATCTGAACAGACTTTGGCTTCCAGAGAGGGTGTATAAACTCCTGTCATTCATTAATTCAACAAACATCTCCTGAGCACCTGCTCTGTGCCAGGCACTGGGCTGGGTGCTTTGGAAACAGATGGGTAAGTCCCAGCCCTCCCTTCAGGGAGCTCACACTCTAAACTAGGGAAGGGACAGAGAGAAGGAGATGAGAAGAGATGGGTGTCTCATGTGATCAGTGTCGTGGCAGGTGTGTGTAAGGCACAGGGGGTGGCCTCTGTGGCCTCTGAGAAGGGAAAGCTGGTCTTGAAGGATGATCAGAAAGTTGCCAGGCAGCGGGAGGATGAGCTTGCAGGAAGTCGCTATAGGCAGAGATACTGGTGGGTGCAAACCCCAGGAGGCTTGAAACCACTTGGTTTAGAGAAATATGAATCATTCTAGGAGAATGGGAGCGGCTGGTGGTAATGCTAAGGAGGTGAGACACCCCCCTACCCAAGTCTAGAGTGCATCACGGGCCAGGCAGCTGCTTCAGCAAGACCATTCTGGCTTTTTTGGTGCAGAGTGGATCAGAAGTGGCAAGTATGGTGGTTAGGAAACCAGTTAAGAAGCTCTTGGGAGCCAGGTGAGGTGGCTCAAGCCTGTAATCTCAGCTGAGGCGGGAGGATCACTTGCACCCAGGAGTTCAAGTTTGCCGTGAGCTATGATTGTGCCACTACACTCCAGCCTGGGTGACAAAGCCAGACCCCAGTGATGGAGGCCGGAGCTGGGGAAAGGAAAAATATACTTAGGAAGAGATCCAGGATGAATGAGTGGCTTACCGGGGGAGTGAAGAAGGAGCAGTGCTGAGGGAGCCCTGGGATTCTGACTTGGCTAGCTGGGTGGCTAGAGACTTAGCAGTCAGGACAGGAAACACGGGACCGAGCTGTTTGGAGGGCAAGGGTGAGAGTGGTGTTGGCTGTGTTGAGTTTGAAGGGCTGAGGGATGCTGGGGGGAACTGACCAGAAGCTTGGAGAGAAGTTTGGATGGAGATATGGACAGGTGACGTCAGCTCTAGGACAGCAGGTGTTGGCAGGGGTGTGGGTGAGGACAAGCAGGCTCAGGCTGAGTGGGGAGCCTGGGGCACCAGCAGGGAGGGAGGGTGGGGAAGGGTCTGAGGAGAGAGGCTGGGGAAGGGCTTTGGGAGGGCCGCAGAGACCAAGGGAGAGGGTGGGATGGCTGCTGGGGCTAACCCATGGCATGAAGTACTGACTTGAAGGGTAGGCAAGCAGACTTAGGTCTGGGGAGAAGGAAGAGGGAGACAGGGAGTACACACAAGGAGCTGGGAGAGGAGAGTCCCCCTCCTCTGAATAAGAGACCCCAAGTGCTCTTTTTCTCCAGGACAGCAGGGCCGTGAAGGCCAAGGGAGAGAGCCCGAGAGGCACGGGGTGGGGTCAGCCCCAGGTGTGTCCGAAGAGGGCCTGCAGGACAAGATGGACACAGATCAAAAAAGCCTCGATAGGGGAGGTGGAGGGGCACCCTGCCTGGGGGCCTCTGTTTTCTCTGTGAGGTAGGAGGGCATGGGGGCTTGACAAAGATGAGGTCTGAGTGACTCTGGGGAGAAGAGGGCCTGGAGAAGGGAGGCTGGCACCTGGATCATTCTGTCCTTCCCACATCACCTCACACCTCTGCCCCTTACCCTGCCCCAGGCATCCACTCTGAACACCTTCACCTTCCCCCATCTACCTGCAGGGAGACCTTCTCAAACCCACCTTTCCCTGCACACCAGTTTACCTGGCCTCCTGGGACAGGCCTGGACCGGCTCTTCCGTAGGACAGGGTGCCCAAGGGTGGCAGGTGGGCCCTCATCTTCCACCTCCACATAAATGTTGCTGGGGGCTTCCCCGGGGCTGCCCCAGCCCATGGCGTAGAAGGCTATGGGTTCATCAGGCTCGTTGTAGATAGGATTGGAGGGCTTGGGGGGTAGGGCCGGGAGGCGTCGTGAAACAGGGCTCGTGTAAACTTCTGGAGGCAGCTGAGGTTTGGCAGGGATGGGAGGCTTGGGCCTGAGTGGCTGGGAGAGAAGGTGAGGCCAGGGAGGAGCGGGGTGAGGGAGGCAGGGTTAAAGCCCCATCGTAACTCCCAGCCTGAGCCTCTGCCCCCGCTAGGCCCCTCCTCCTCCTCACTGCCTGCACCCCCTCGCAGGCCTGTCCTCCAGCTCCCTCAGCCCCTCCAACCCAATACCTCCTTCTCCCCGGCCGCTTCTTTCTGCATTGGGACTGTGGCTTGCCCCTGCTTGATGATTGGGCTGTACTCGGGGTTTGGGTCCTGGCTTTTGCTTCCAGAGTTTGATTCTTCGGTCCTCAGGGGAAGTCCTGCAGGCTCAGGAGTCTGCTGGGAAAGGAGGTCTGAGGGACTTGGTGGAGCATTGGGGAGGGGGAGGTGATCAGAAGGACAAAATAATCCAGTCTAAGTGGAGGATGGGGGAAGGGGGAGGGACACAGAAATTTGGCCTGGGCTGGGTTCCCTGGATGAGGAAGAGGGGGTGGCGACGGCGAGGAGACCCAGGGTCGGATGGAGGCAGTGGTAAGCTCTGGTCACAGGCCATATCTAGCATTAAAGTTTTTCTTTTTTGAGATAGAGTCTCGCTCTGTTGCCCAGGCTGAAGTGTAGCGGTGCAGTCTCAGCTCACTGCAGCCTTGATCTCCTGGGCTCAAGCTATCCTCTTGCCTCAGCCTCCCAAGTAGCTGGGACTACAGGCATGCATCACCACCCTGGCTAACCATGTTTTCATTTTCTGTAGAGATGGGGTCTCAGTATATTGCCCAGGCTTGGTCTTGAACTCCTGGGCTCAAATGATCCTCCCACCTCAGCCTTCCTGAGTTTTAGGATTACAGGTGTGAGCCACCACACTTGGCTGCATTAAATTTAATTTCATCTGGATCACAGGGCAAGGCCAGATTCCATTTGTGCCTGTGGCTGTGAAAATGCAACATGGCTTTACACATCTTTAGCTGAAAAATTATTGGCGTGGGGACCAATCTCCATGACAGCTGTGCTTGTGTTTATTTCTGTACTGCTGGTTAATTTATGGAGATATAAGCTGAAGGTTTTTTGTTTGTTTGTTTTTGTTTTTAAGACCAAGTCTCATTCTGTCATCCAGGCTGGAGTGCAGTGGCACAATCTCGGCTCACTGCAACCTCCGCCTCCTGGGTTCCAGAGATTCTCCTGCCTCAGCCTCCCAAGTAGCTGGGATTACAGGCACCCACCACCACACCCAGCTAATGTTTGTATTTTTCAGTAGAGATGGGGTTTTGTCATGTTGGCCAGACTGGTCTCGAACTCCTGACCTCAGGTGATCCTCCACCTTGGCCTCCCAAAGTGCTGGGATTACAGATGTGAGCCACTGCACCTGGCCATAAGCCAGAATTTTTAAGGGCAGAGACCACCTCAGGAGAGAGTAGCCGCATGTGGGATGGTTCCATCTCACAGACGGTGTGCTTTTAGTTCAGTGTTAGCCCTTGGTCCATGAATGCTGTCCCCATGCCTGCTGCCAGTGTAGGCTAAGGTCACAGGGCTTTTCTTGTGCTCCTGCAATCCACCAAGTGCACGTCTCCATCGGGAGGTGTACTGCAGGTGTACCATGGAATCCAAAGAATTCCTTTTCCTGCCCTAACCCCCTCCTCTCTCAGCATCTCCTTCCTGAATAAAAAGTAGCACTTCCACCCTGCTGCCGAAACAGCACCTTAGGAGTCAGCCTTGATGCCTCCACCTCCTCCCTCTCGACATGAAATCAAACACAAGTCCTGCTCCTTCCACTGTCTAAATATTGTTCACATCTGTGTACTTTTCTCCATGCACACGGCCAGCACCCTAGTTGAGGCCTCCTGACTCCTCCTCCTGCATCGTCTTGCCCTTCCAACCCACTCTCCAGTCTTCGAGCAGAGCAATCTTACAGAAACTCCCCTAGCAATCCTTGGGTGGTTACCCATTGCCCCAGGATAAGTCAGAATCTTGAGAGCTTGAGTGACAAGACTCTGTGTGACCTCAGACTTCTACAGCTCTGCCTTCAGCCTTCTCAGGTCAGGCTGGCTCCTCCTCACCCCCAGACTTCCCCATGCTCTATGAATCTCAGGTCTTTGCCTGTTCCTCACAAAAGAGGTAGTGACCACAGGCACTGTCCCCACTTGTTTTAACTGACCCAAATCAAGTTCTGTGAAACTCTTCTTGTCTAGGTCACCGGTGACCTCCTCTCTGTCAAACCCAGTGTCAATTGCACCCTCTGCCCTCACCTGCCTTCACTCACTTTCTTCACTTGGCTTCCAGAGCATCACACTCTTTGGCTTTTCTCCTCTCTTTCTGAGTGCTCTGCTCAATTTTCTTTGTCAGTTCACCCTTATTTCTGCAACCTCTAAATGCTGGAGACTTGGGCTTCATTTCCTTCCCACCTACACTGACTTCTGAGTGAGATTTCACCCCTCCTAAAGGTTTTCGAGTCCCTCTGAGTGCTGGTGACTCTCAATATTTGTCTGCAGCCCATCCCTTTGTCCCGGTCCCCAGACTCTGAATTCCAGCTGCCTACTTGACATCTCCATGCTGAACTGCATGTGTAGAAAACAGAACTCCTGACCCTGCCCCCCTGCCCAGACATGTTCCTCCTAGAACTTTCCTCGTCTCAGTCAATGACAAGTCCATCTTTTCACACTCCTCATCCAATCCTGCAAAAACCCAGCAGCTCCACCTTCTAAGGAGACCCAGCCTCCGCCCTCCTCACGCCTCCTGGAGGCACCCACCTCTGCTACCCTGACCCAGACTGCCATCATTTCACGTGAAATATTGCCTCTCCCGAAACTTACCAGGCCATGTCACCCCTCAGCTTGTAACTCTCCAGTGCCATCTCGTCTCGCTCAGAATAAAACTCCAAATGCATACAAGAGTCTACAGGACCCCCCTCCCTCACCCCTCTGATCTCATCTCCTACTTCTCTATCCTTCAGTCACTGGATCCACCCATGCTAGCTTCCTCTCTGCTCCCATCATTCCTCAGACACAGCAAGTCTCCTCCTGCCTCAGGGCCTTTGCACCTGCTGTGCCCGCAGCCGAGAATGCTTTTCCTCCAGTTGTCTGCATGGCTCTTCTCCTATTTCATACAGGCCTCTATTCAGATGTCCGCTTACCAGAGTGACCTTCCCTGACACCCTGTGTAGAACAGCCCCAACCCTGTCACTCTTCAACAATATTTCACATGAAATGATGGCAGCCTGGGCCAGGGTAGCAGAGGTGGGTGCCTCCAGGAGGCATGAGGAGGCTGGAGGCTGGGTCTGCCTAGAAGGTGGAGCCGCTGGTGGAGCTGTTTGGTTTTCTTGTCAGTGTGTACTTATCATTACCAGACAGACTCTGTCTTCTTTGCTTGTTTTCTGTATTACTCGCTTGTCTGCCTCCTCCTTCTAGAATGGAAGCTCTTGAAGGCGGAGATATTCCAGTCCTTTAAGTTCACTGCTGTTTTTCCGGTGCCCAGAAGGTTGCGTGGCACCCAGTGGTCCCTCAGCACTGCCTGAACTTGCGCACCGCTGCCTGCTAGGCTAAACGGTACCCTGTATTTCCTTCTGAATCACATTCTCCACACTGGATTTCTATTACTTGTCCATTTTTACTGCTGGAAGGTAGGCTTTGTGAGTTTGAGACCCATCTGTCTGTCTTGTTCATGGGTCTATTCTCAGGGCCTGCCAGCAGTTGGTAGGCCCTAAGTACTCCGTAAACATCTCTTATATTAAAGACAAATGACTAGGCTGGGCACAGTGGCTCATGCCTGTAATCCCAGCTACTCAGGGGTCCCATTCAGGAGACCCCTGCATCCTCCCCTGGCCTCATCCTGGAAGGGCAGTCTGCAGGGGCTGCTACTGCAGCTACAGGGATGGGAAAGTAGTTGGACTTCCAGATTTCAGAAGTCAAAGCTGAAAATACCAGATGGAAAATACCAGCATTCGAAGCCTTAGGGACAGAAGGATAATGGGGCCTAGAGAGGGGAAGCTGACTCAGGAGGCTGAGGCAGGAGGATCACTTGAACCCGGGAGGTGGAGTTTGCAGGGAGAAAAGATCGCGCCACTGCACTCCAGCCTGCGCGACAGATCGACACTCTGTCTAAAACAAAACAAAACAAAAAACAAAACCCCAAATGACTCTGTGTGCCCCTGGTCTCTCCTTGCCCCTCTGTCTCCGTGTGGCTGGGCTGGTCTCTTAAGGAGGGACCCCCCAGCACTCATATTTCTCGAAGGGCCTGCCACCCTCTCACGAAGATGAAGATGCCTGGGTAAGGGAGGCATGCTCGGGTGGTGTTTTGGGATGAGAAAGTGCCTGGTGCCGCGTCCTGCGCCTGGGCTCTGAGTCGGGGGGCGGGGAGGGGGCGCTGGCCTGAGACCCTGGGCTCTCTGGTCAGGGCCCGGGACGCGTACCTGGCGGGCGAGCGGCTCGGTGAGCGTCTCCCCGTAGGGGCTGAGCGGGTGCGCCGTGTAGTACCGCAGCAGGTCCTGCAGCCGTTCGTGGGCGCTGTCCTCGCCCAGCACCACGTGGCGCCCGTCCCCGAGCTGGGCCAGCAGGAAGTGGCGGCAGCAAGTCCGGCTCCTGGAGGGCGCCGTTAGGCATCAGACTATCTCCCACTCCTCGGCCAGGGCCACCAGCGCGAGGCGTGACCCCCACTTTCAGCAGCCCGGGGACTGAGCTAAAAGCTCGGCTCCTCCTGGGCTCAGACCCAAGCCCCGCCCCTCCCGAGCCCCGCCTTCTGTCGCCCGGCGTGGGGCCTCGCCCCTCACCTGTAAGTCAGCACGAAGGTCACCGCGCTCTCGCTGAACCGCACCAAGTAGCATCCCTGAGGCTTGGGCTCCAGCAGCCTCTCTGCCTCCCTGTGGGTGACGGAGAGAGGGGGCCGAAACCTGCTCTGACACTTCCAGCCTCGCCTCTGTCTCCCCAGCTCTCACGAGGAACCCTTACCCCCAAGCAAGCATGCTGGAGCGGCTAGAGGAAGGCTAGGGTTGAGATGGGGAGAGAGAGCATGTGGGAGCTGTTCTCCCGCTGCAGGGACTAGGCGTGGACAGGGACCAGGGATCCCATTCAGGAGACCTCCCGCTTCCTCCCCTGGCCTCATCCTGGAAGGGCAGCCTGTAGGGGCTGCTACTGCAGCAACAGAGATGGGAAAGTAGTTGGACTTCCAGATTTCAGAAGTCAAAACTGAACTGAGGAGGTGAACAAAGAGATAGGGAGAAATGAAGCTGAGAAATGGAGGAGGGAGGATCTGCAAGGGTGGAAGAAAAGAGGGCTGGGAGATAAAGATGGAGTAAGCCTGGAGGGAGAGAGAGGTGGAAAATACCAGCATTTGAGGCCTTAGGGACAGGAAGATAATGGGGCCTAGAGAGGGGAAGCTGAGGCACAGAGAGGCCTGGACTGGAGCCTCTCCAATGATCTTCCCTGGAGAGATGCCTCAGTGAAAGGCCTGGAAAACTCTGGGAGTGGGAGCCTGGAGTGGGCACCTCCATCTGCTCCAGACTGGTAAAAGTGGGAGCCTTCATCTATTCCTGGCAGGTGGCAGGACCCAGACCCAGGACTTGCCCTGCCCCTGTCTGGGCCAATTTCTTCCTCCATGACTCACCTCCGGGTGATGAAGCCATGGAACCAGGCAGGGGCTGCCCCATGCTGCAGGAGGCAGTGGGCCTGGGTCTTCTGGAACCAAGCCCGGGTCTCGGCCTGCAGGGACAGGCTTCCTTCTCCAGGCACCTCCTCTGCCTTCGCAGCATTCCCTGGGATGGAGGCAGCTTCCAGGGCCTGGGGAGATGCCTGGATCAGGGAAGAGTTCAAGGAGGGGGAAGCAGCATGATGGGTGGGTCTTCTCCTGACTTTGATCCACCTGCCACCTTCTTTTCCTCATACCCATCCTCTCCTGTCTATTTTAGGGTACAATTGCCCAGAAAGTCCTTCCTAAAGTCTAACTTAAATCCCTTCTTCAGCTCCAGCTGTTCTGGCTTCCAGAGACTCTCCTTCCTCTGCCCTCTGGGTCCTGAGGGCTTTTAATCCAGCAGCAGTGAGCTGTCACACTGTGCTCCAGGAGGGACGGGAAAGGCAGCACAGCCTTCCAGATGGACAGAGTCATTCCCTGGCCTGGAGGATGAAGGAACATGATGCCGGAAGTCACGCTAAAGGCCAGAATGAGGGAGGGCTTACTCCACAATATGAGGGACTGAGCTAGTTCACAGAGAAAATTCTTGAGTGGGCGGGAGGGAAGGGCTGAGAGTGGAATGCACCGGGTGAATGAAGATCACTGACACAGAGGGCAGATGCCTGCTTCTGGGACTCAATGCGCTGCATCCTGGTCACCTGCGAATTCTGCCTGAGCTTCCGGAGGGCCTAGGAGCAGCACGGGAGTGAGTGGGCAACTCAGTGCATGAAGGAGGTACTCCCCATTTTCATTCTCTCCCTCTGTGCCCCAGACCGTTGGCAGACCTGGATCATTCCTACCTTCTCTCGGGGTGGCCTTTGTCCATCTGCAAGTCTTTCCCCATGGGAGGGTGGGAGAGATGAGGGAGCTGCACCCCGCTGCCGCCCCAGGTTTCTACTCACCGCAGTGTAGCCCAGGTTCCAGCAGCTCCTGTGGGTCATGTCCGTGATCTGGAAGGTGCTGAAGGTTGGGATGGGGGCTTCGTGACTCCCTGTGAGCACAAAGAGGGCTGTTGGGGTTTCTCAGAGGGGGACTGTGTCTATCTCTGCCTCCCACCCCTTCTCTCAGGTTCAGGGATCTGTAGGGCTGGGACAGTCTTAATGACAGGAAAAATGCAGAAGGGCAGCAGGGGAGTTTGTCAGGCCTGAGGATAAGTAGCCAAGGGGGCGTGAGGGGGGCTAATGCTGCCAGAGGAGGTTGTCAGGGACACCAGGTGCCTAGGAGAAGATGGGAGTCAGGCTGGCCTTCGGATGGCCAGGGAGGCAGATCACTTCAGGGCAGGCCCTTCTTCTGGTCCAGGATCTTCTGCTTCCTCCTCCCTTCATCCTCCTGCTCCCTCCTCTCTCCTCTCTGAGAAGCGCTCAAAAAACCCTGTCACCTTTATCCTCAGGGATGAGTGGGCATGGAGCCCCAGGCAGGGTTGTGGTCGCCCTGCCTCTCAGTCTTGCCAGCTCTGGCTTAGCCCCTCATCCCTGAAGTGGGAGCTCAAGCCCAGGAGGGAGGGCAGGGGGATGGGGGTCTTGGTGCCCCCTCCCACCCATATCCTCCAACTTCACACTTACCTTGGGGACATATCTGGGCCAGGGGGAACTCCATGGGGGCAGCCTGACAAGGGATCCCAGAGCAGGGTGTGTGTATGTGCTCTGGAAAGGTGTGCACACTCAGCAACTCTTCATCTCTCCTTTCACCCTGGCCCCAGGGGCAGGAAATGTCGCCTTACCCACAGCCTTAGTTCTGGCAGAGGACCCACGTCATGGAAAGCCTTAAGACGATTGTCCCACCCCCGGAAGCCACGCAGCTATAGATAGCGGTGGTATAGCGGTGGGGGGTATCTGTGTCACTCTGTGTTTAGGTGTTAGGAAGTCCTTACTGCTACCTGACCTTCATCCCTCCAGATTCTTTCTCTGCTCCCTCACCCCAAACTAGAACTTCCCTTTCTCTCTCTCTCATCTCTCCTGGCTTCTATTTCTTTCTCTCTGGAAAATCTCCCACTCTGCCTCTGGGCCTGTTCTGAGCAGTGGGAATGGGGAGGTCAGCCTCAAGGATAAGCCACACAAGGTGCTTATGGGTCATGCTTTGAGGAGACATGAGGAAGGGAGGGGGCAGGGCTGCAACAGGAAGGATGTGGGTTAGACTTCTGGAAGGACTTTTTGAGGACATATGAAATCTATGAGTCTGGGCATGGTGTCTCACGCCTGTAATCCCAGTACTTTGGGGGGCTCAGGCGAGAGGATCGCTTAAGCCCAGGAGTTCATGATCAGCCCTGGGCAACACAGTGAGACCCCATCTCTATTTTTAAAAATTAATAATAAAAAAAGAAATTTATGAGACAAGGGGTTAGAGAGGAGGGGGGCTGGATTCCATCATTCAGCAGATAATGGAACTGAGTTAGGGAAAAACCGGGCAATCCTGGAGGAAGGAAGGAGAATTCCTCCAGCTAAGCTGGTCATCATTAGTATCAACACTATCAGCAGTTGCTGTTAATAACATCACCGTTGATGTCTTTTTTTTTTTTTTTTTTTTAGACAAAGTCTAGCAGGACTACAGTGACACAATTTCAGCTCACTGCAACTTCTGCCTCCCAGGTTCAAGGGATTCTTGTGCCTCAGCCTCCCGAGTGGCTAGGATTACAGGCTTGCACCACCACGCCTGGCTGATTTTTGTATTTTTAGTAGAGACAGTGTTTCACCATGTTGGCCAGGCTGGTCTTGAACTCCTGACCTCAAGTGATCCACCCACCTTGACCTCCACAGGCGTGAGCCACTGCATTGGCCGGTGCTGATGAAACTTTCAATGTGCTTAGACTTCCCACCATACCAAAGGACCAACCCCATTTCTCTCTGAATTGATCTTCACAAACTAAGAAGGGAACAGGAACATTATCCCCATTTACCAGAAGCTCAGAGGAGTGTCTTGGCCAGGGCCTTTCAGTGGCTAAGAAGTTGGTATGAATGCTGGGACTAGAAGCTAGACTTCCTTTCACTAATTTCACTGTGATTTAGGCCAAAGGTTCATGACTATGTGCTGTGCACTGTTCTTGGTACTGAGAACTCAGAGAGGAAAAAAAATTTTGTCTCAAGATGTCAGGTGGGGGAGATGTACTTGCCAAGACTTACTGTTTTTCAAAAAATTATGTACTGTTTTCTTACTTTTAAAAACGTGTTCTAAATTTTTAATAGTTTTTGGGGTTCAGTTGGGTTTTGGTTACACGGATAAGTTATCTGGTGGTGATTTCTGAGATTTTAATGCACCTGTCACCCAAGCAGTGTACACTGTCCCCAATATGTAGTCTTTTATTCTTCACCCAACCTTCCCCCCAAGTCCCCAAATTCCCTTATATCACTCTAATGCCTTCGTGTCCTCATAGCTTAGCTCCCACTTATAAGTGAGAACATATGATATTTGGTTTTCCATTCCTGAGTTACTCCACTTAGAATAATGGCCTCCAGCTCCAACCAAGTTGCTGCAAAAGATATTATTTCATTCCTTTTTATGGCTGAGTAGTATTCCATGATGCAGATATACCACATTTTCTTTATCCACTCTTTGGTTGATGGGCACTTAGGTTGGTTTCATATCTTTGCAATTGCAAATTGTGCTGCTATAAACATGTGCGTGCATGTGTCTTTTTTATAGAAGGACTTCTTTTCCTTTGAATAGACACCCAGTAGTGGGATTGCTGGAAATAATGGTATTTCTACTTTTGTTTTTTAAGGAATATCCATACTGTTTTTCATAGTGGTTGTACTAATTTGCATTCCCACCAGCAATGTAAAACTGTTCCCTTTTCACCACATCCATGCCAACATCTATTTGTGTGTGTGTGTCTGTGTGTCTGTGTCTGAGATGAAGTCTCAGTCTGTCACCCAGGCTGAAGTGCAGTGGTACGATCTCAGCTCACTGCAACCTCTGCCTCCCAGGTTCAAGTGATTCTCCTGCCTCAGCCTCCTGAGTAGCTGGGACTACAGGTGAATGCCACCATGCCTGGCTAATTTTTGTATTTTTAGTAGAAAAAATGGGGTTGGTCGAACTCCTGATCTCAGGTGATACCCCTGCCTCAGCCTCCCAAAGTGCTGGGATCACAGGCATAAGCCACTGCACCTCGCCACATCTATTGTTTTTTTGACATTTTAATTATGGCCATTCTTGCAGAAATAAGGTGGTGTCTCATTGTGGTTTTAATTTGCATTTCCTTGATGATTAGTGATGTTGAACATTTTTTCATATGTTTGTTGGCTGTTTGTATACTTTCTTTTGAGAAATGTCTATTCATGTCCTTTGCTCACTTTTTGATGGGATTATTATTTTTTATTTTTATTTTTATTTAGATGGAGTTTCACTCTTGTTGCCCATGCTGGAGTGCAATGGCATGATCTTGCCTCACTGCAGCCTCAGCTTCCCAGGTTCAAGCGATTCTCCTGCCTCAGCCTCCTGAGTAGCTGGGATTACAGGCATACACCACCACGCCTGGCTAATTTTGTATTTTTAGTAGAGATGGGGTTTCTCCATGTTGGTCAGGCTGGTCTCGAACTCCTGACCTCAGGTGATCTACCAACCTCAACCTCCCAAAGTTCTGGAATTACACGTATGAGCCACCGCGCCTGGCCTATTTGTTTTTTTTCTTGCTGATTTGAGTTCCTTGAGATTCTGGGTGCTAGTCTTTGTTGGATGCAGTTTGAGAATGTTTTCTCTCACTCTGTGGGTTGTCTGTTTACTCTGCTGATTACTTTTTTTGCTATTCAGAAGTTTTTAGTTTAATTAGTTCCCCATCTATTTATTTTTGTTTTTGTTGAATTTGCTTTTGGGGTCTTAGTCATGAATTATTTGCCTAAGTCAATGTTCAGAAGAGTTTTTTGGATGTTATTTTCTAGAATTTTTGTGGTTTCAGGCCTTAGATTTAAGTCTTTAATCCATCTTGAGTCGATTTTATTATAAGGTGAGAAATGGGGAACCAGTTTCATTCTTCTATATGTGGCTTGCCAGTTTACTCAGAACCGTTTATTGAATAGGGTGTCATTCCCCAATCTATTTATTTGTTTATTTTTTGAAACAGGGTCTAACTCTGTCACCCAGCCTGGAAAGCAGTGGCACGATCTCGGCTCACTGCAGCCTCAACCTCCTGGGCTCAAGCGATCCTCCCACCTTAGTCTCCCAAGTAGTTGGGACTACAGGTATGCACCACAACACACGGCTAATTTTTGTACTTTTTGTAGAGATGGGGTTTTGCCATGTTGCCCAGGCTGGTCTCGAACTCCTGGGCTCAAGCCATCTGCCTGCCTTGGCCTCCCAAAGTGCTGAGATTACAGGCATGAGCCACCACATCCAGCGCCCCCAATTTATGTTTTTGTACACTTTATCAAAGATCAATTGGTGGTATGTATTTGGCTTTATTTCTGGGTTCTCTATTCTCTTCCATTGGTCTACATGCCTATTTTTATACCCGTACCATGCAGTTTTGATAACTATAGCCTTGTAGTATAATTCGAAGCTGGATAATGTGACGCCTCCAGATTTGTTCTTTTTGCTTAGTATTGCTTTGGCTATACGGGCTTTTTTTTGGTTCCATTTGAATTTTAGGATTGTTTTTTCTAGTGCTGTGAAGAATGATGAAGGTGTTTTGATGGAAATTGCATTGAATCTGTAGATTGCTTTGGGCAGTATGGTCATTTTCACAATATTGATTCTTACCATCCATGAGCATGGGATGTGTTTCCATTTGTTTGTGTCATCTCTGATTTCTTTCAGCAGTGTTTTCCTTGTAGAGTTCCTTGTAGTTTTCCTTACAGAGAGCTTTAACCTCCTTGGTTAAGTACATTCCTAAGCTTTTTGTTTGTTTGTTTGTTTTTGCAGCTGTTGTAAAAGGGATTGAGTTCTTGATTTGATTCTTAGGTTGGTCGTTGTTGGTGTACAGCAGTGTTACTGACTTATGTACATTGATTTTGTATCCTGAGACTTTACTGAATGTATCAGATCTAGGATCTTTATGGTTGAGTCTTTAGGGTTTTCTAGGTGTACCATCATATTATTGGCAAACAGCAGTAGTTTGACTTCCAGTTTGATTTCCAATTTGGATGCCCTTTATTTCTTTCTCTTGTCTGATTGCTTTGGCAGGATTTCCTAGCAGATACTTATTAAAGCTTGTAGTGGGTTAGTGGTGTAGGCTGGTGCTATGGGAACCCCCCCTCAGAAGCCCCTAATTTAGCCTGGGCTGTGTGTGTGTGTGTGTGTATGTATGCGCGTAGGGGGTTGAGATGTCAGAAGACTTGAGATTTAGCTGAGTTGTGGAGGATGAGTAGGGTCGAAGAAGGTGGGGAAAGGCGTTTCTAGAAGAGGGAGACAAAGCTCAGAGTGGTGAGGAAAGGAGAAGTGCAGCAAAAAACAGATGCAAACAATGTTACTGCATTGGCTACTTCAAAATGAGCTGCAAAGTGCAGTGTCCAGTTGCTTGGAAAGCATTTCACTTGGCAAGGAGGACTTTCTTCAGACAGGGTGCAAAGTGAAATCACATGTTGGAGTAATCCACAGAAGGGAGAAAGGAGGAGCAATTTATCTGCCCAACTCCCTGGTGCTTCCCATTTCCCATTGGTCAAGGTTATCCTATAGGAACTGACATAGAGGTTTCATCCTTTGGACCTTGGTGTCCACTTGGGAAGCCAGATGCCATGGCCCATGTGTGGTGTTTGATTTTAATCAGAAATAGAGGGATGACCCAGAGAGACAGCCTCAACATGTGAGTGTGAAGACCATGCATCCCTAGGACTACAGCTTTGACTCCAGGCAGCTCTGGCCACAAAAAAGGGCTCTGATAGAGGTGGTGGTAGTTAGGGAGGCTGGCAACCCTTTTGGAAAGAAAGAGTCAATTAAAAGAATCTAAGGAAGCATACACAATTTGTGTCCAACACGGTCCACCCCCTGTGCCCTCTTATTATGTTCAGCTCCCAGATGATAATATTGGGCTTCAACTTGTCCTGTGCAACATTCCTAGTTCCTTACTTATTCCTCAAGAAGGGAGCTACAGGTCCCGCCAGTCACAGGGTCCCCTTCAAGGTAATAGTCAAGAGTGTTTTTCTCTCGATTGAAGCCAGGAGTTGGAGACCAGTCTGGGTAACAAAGCAAGACCCTGTCTCTACAACAAATAAAGAAAAAAAATAGCCAGGTATGGTGGTGTGCTACTTGTAG